ACTGTGATGACGTCACATATGTGCTTTCGTCGAGCGCGCTTTAGTCTACCGCGGTTTTGTGGTGGAACCGATATATACACATGCATGCAGACACGAGTTCTTCTAGGCTAAAGACAAATGACAGATGTTCAGGAATTAGGCAGCTTTGGGAAGATGATAAAAGTGAAATCCTTTTGAACAAAAGTTGAACCCAGAATTTATTTGCAGTCTGAGGACTGATCCATGCAATTAATAATGAACATATGAATAATTCTGCACTTTCACCCTTGAATTTCCATTCTTCTGGTTTTCATGTTTCAGATCTACTGTAGGTAGCCAGTTCTGGAGGAAAAAGACAAATGGCTCAAGGGAGCTCTGAAGCTTGCAGGAATTTTGTTTCCCTTCTTTCTCTTTTTAATATATATGTCCTACTTCCAGCTCAAAAGCATAAGAATGAGAGTCTTAAGAAATGTATGGATCTGATTGGTTTCTGAAGTACACTTGAAGATTTCTCAGTGATCTGCTGGGTGAATCCATCAATTAGCTCTAGAATGAGCTCAGCCATCTGCATGCTAGATCCTCATCCTCTTGATTTCTTTCGGAATTCGGCGGGGGAGAATGGGATCGGCAAGAAGTCGATCACGTTTTGCAACAATCTTCAAAGAGGCTATGGTACGCCTCCTTTTAAAGAGACTCGCAATCTGGATGTGGAAACTTTAAATGAGTACTATCATTTCAATTGTCTATTCCTAAACTGCTTTGTAGACGGCCTTGCCTTATTAAGGTTCAGGACTTCTGTCTCTCTTCATCAGAAATACTTCCCAAGCAGGACAAGTAAGGGGACATTGTCTTTGCTATTTTTTTTCTGCAGACTAAAAATGGTTGTAAAGGACTTGCCAATTTACAAGTGCTCTAGGGAGATCTTTCCAGCTATTTTTAGAGCAATACTACCACATTGAGGAACAGAGCAGAATCAAAACAAATGCCAGGAGGGATTTCTGTGACATGGCAGCTAGTAGAGTCTTCTGTGATTTAATTGACAACCTGTGAGTAAGATTTCATTCTTTAGTATTTCTATCCATGGTTTACACGGAACTCTCCCCAACTGAGTGTTTGCATGTGAGTTTGGGGTGCATCATATTGTGTGCTTCATTTTCATTGATTTTTTAAAAAACTTTTAATGAGCCCGTAATCCCTTGCATTGGGGTGGAGTCAGGGCAACTGAATGGAGCTGCGTGTTTACTGGCTGGCTGCCCTTCCTGTTGCCAATGCAGAGTTTGCAGCAGATATTTTCTCATTGTTGCCAGAGAGAGAAATATGTGCCGCTACCTAGGATCAAACTCATATCCTCCTGATTGTGAGACGAGAGTTCCACCTCTAGACCACTGCACCACTCCTTGCTTTATTTTCATTGATAATGGTTTTAAAACCTACAAAGGCAATCAATTTTCTGAAAGCAAATCAAGACACTAGAATAGCAGCAAAATGTTTGGAAAGGTTCTGTATGTTATCCCAAACTAAATTGAGCTTTAAAAGATCATAAACCATTCCCATTTCAGAATCCTCTAGGTTGTAACATCTGCTCATTCCATCCTCAACTTTGTGACAGGATCACTTGAGAAATATTAAGACACATATTTTCTTGAGTGTGTTTGAGTTTTGCTCTAAATAATGTTGGCTTCAACAATGTGTATAGCATATATGTCAGGGAAGCTTGCGCAATAAAGTAGATGGAGATAATTATTATGAAAACCAATTGTTCATAACCATAACTTCTAGCGTGTGTATTGTGTAGATTGTGTAGAATATGCAGAATTTATTCTTTTGCATGAACTTATCCTTAAAAGGGAAGGAGAAGCAGTCTAGTAGGGTAGAAGCCACAGAAATTTGTAGCTTGTTTCTGGAGCATTTGTTGAAAAATGGGGGATAAACTGAACGCCTGTGAAAACTTGTGTGTTCATATGCACACATCAAGAAATGTATCACTTTGCTTTTTTCTTCAAAGGGGCTAGAGTTTTAAAGTATGGTTGAAAAATGATATTTCCATGCCTTTAATAAAGAGTTGAGAAGGCATAAAATGTCCAAGGAGAGCTTTGCTTCAAATTGTTTCTGTGGCAACTTCAAAGCCTGGAACACATCACAGAGAAAACATTATAATATCCTTATTGAGTTTTAGAAGACTTTTAGCACTTTAAAAAGTGTGAGAGATGATTCCTGCCATATGATCCTGTCCCTCTAAAACAGTGAGAGGAGAATTTTTCAACATTTTTTTTACAGGATTGATTATAGATTATACACCTTCAAGCCATTTTAGACTCCTAGCAACCATATCAATAGTTTTTCTCTATGACAAACTATCTCTAAGTTTGCCAGTCAGACCTTTGAATGGTCTTTTGCAGGATACATCTTTACAAAGCAAATAATCCACAGGAGGAGGGATTTAAAATTCACATTTGAGCTCCATAAATATTTTTGGGAGTTAGTGGTAGTTTCCCGTGGACCTGAGGAAGTATAAACATAATAAAAGATAGTGTCTTTTGAAAACCTTTTTCTCTCTTTCAATCTTTTTTTAATCTTTCCCATACAAAACACCCACAAATGATGGTATTTTCATGGGGAATAAAACAAAGAAATCTCATAAATGTCCTCTGGAATATGACTTCATGAAATTACTAGTTTTCATGGATGCTTCCCTGATTTTATTTCTGAAATTCTGCTCCCCCCCCCCCCGAGAGAGGGGGGTGGAGGGAGGGAGCGCACCACTCCTTTTGGAACTAGTTCAGTCTTACATGCTTATAGCTAGAAGTGTACCTTATAACGTTTGTATCTGACAATGTACTCTTTTAAATACTGCACAGGTATTTCCATTTCAAACTGCAATCTTCCTCCAACACAGCTCAAGGCAATGAACACATTTCTTGTCTGAGAAATGTTACGCACCATAATTAAGATAAAGATGATGACAAGAATAAATATTTTGTGCTGGTCAGAAAGGATAGGAATGTATTACTATGAGGGTGGCTTGGGAAGAAAGTGCTCCTACTTTTCAATATATTAAAAACAAATACTTAAGGATAAATAAGCAAGTAGAAGTCAGTATATTGCACATCACAATAGCAACATGCAGCATTATACATTCAATTTCCATGATGTCTTCTGGGCTTCACTTTTGAATATTTTCAAAAATAAAACAAGAGGGGGAGATTTTTCACACCAAAGGAATGGTAAGAAATAATTCTGCTAATTTAGCTTTAGCCAAATATGTGTTTAGCCTCTTGCTGTGCCCTCTCTTTCATTGTCTATTATGGTGTTTTTGTTCAAACATCATATTGTTTTGATGCAACGATGTTTATATAATCATTTAAACCACCCCAACATGTATTTTTGTGAAAGCAGACAAGGCATTTTCCCCAAATCTCAAATATTGATTTCCTTGACATCCTCTGTCATAAGTCAATTTCATTGCATCTACTGTACCGATTTTGCAATGGCATTTACAAATCCAGCTTTTCTTCCTGTAAGCAGCTTATGACATTGGAGTTGTACCTTAGGTTTGGGAATTCCTGCTGTATTTCATCTGCAAGTTGGAGCCAGATCTGGCCATGCTTGGGATTAGGGATCAATTGCTTTAAAGAGAGAAATCAGACTTTTGTTGATTTCAGTAGGTTGGCTCTAAGTATGACCAAAGCTTGACCACATTCAGTATATATAAAACATTGGAAAATCTTATGGTATCTTTCATCTGACAATGTATTTCTTCTTTTTGACAGGAGGTAAGTAACACTAGAGAGCCAGTTTGGTATAGTGGTTAAGATACCAGGCTAGAAACTGGGAGACAGTGAGTTCTAGTCCCATGTTGGGCACAAAACCAACTGGTTAACCTTGGGACAATCATTTTCTCTCAGCCCTAGGAAGAGGCAATGGCAAACCACTTCTTAAAGACCTTGCCAAGGAAATTGCAAGGATTTGTCTGGGCAGTCTCCAAAAATCGGACATGAATTAATGAAAGAAAAAGAAATCTAGCATTAGAAGGCTGGGCCCAAAGATATTTCAGGTTTTAAAAATTGATACTACGTTGATGGATTTCGCCTTGTTCAATGGGTCTCTGTGTTAAATTGGTGCACAACCGAGAATGAATTGGTCACAAATTAGATATGCACAAGGCATTAAGTATTTTCTTCAACTGCACACTATAGGACTACAGAATGAACCACCTATTTGGTTTTTGTAAGAGTTACATTATGGTGCAGTCCTTGGCAGCTGTCACTGCATTCCTTGAATTCCCCCCCCCAGTAATAAGTCCACTTGTGTAGTGCTTATTTAGCACACATGGACAGAATTGCATTGTAAGGCAAAGGTTGTGCACCTTTGTGCAGTCAGGGACAACAACCTGTCTTCCTGACCTTTTAGAGTGCTTTAGAGAGTGATCAGATGATCAAAATAGACTCCTAAGGCTAAAGGGACCTTGGAGATCTTCTTGAATGTGACATGGTACATTTCTTTTCAGTCTTTTTGATGATCCCTCTGAAAGGCACTTTAAACTATGGAATGGGAGCAAGTGAGCTCATAGAAGCGAACTGCAATTATATCTATCCCTTTATCCTTTCCAAAGCTTCCAACTGGTACATTTTATATTCTTACAATGATTCTCAAGAGCTTTAATGAAAAAAAAAAGTGAGCGAGTGTTGCCAAAGAGGGAAAACAGTTTTTTTCCCCCAAAGTTCTGGAAATTATCCTTTTTGAACAATTTAATTTCTTCCATTTGGCTGCCAAATTTTGGTGATGTGATTTCAGAGTGCGGAGCCATAAATGTGATGCTGGGAGTCCCACCCCACTCTTCTTTGAAGTCTAGTCTTTTACTGGAACATATAAGAGAACATTATCCCAAAGATTTCAACTTGAATGACTTTTTCTGGATCTTACATGGAAGACTAAATGACTTCTAAATAAACATGTTGTGACTGAGCAGATAGTCAGGAGTATCAAGTATTCCACACTCCGTGGGTTAAAGACGCCCATACTTAGCCTATTCATAATAGTCATTTTTTAGCTTTTTTGCACTCAGTATATGACACCTTAGCAAAAACTAATGGTAAGAGACCACTATCATTCCTCTTACCACTCTGTTCAATTGTTGATTTTTGTTCTTTAAATTTCTCTGTAGCACTTAGAACATTTTAGATGCATTATAAGTTTTAAATAAATCCTATATTTATACATTGCAGATCTATGACACGTACCATATTAAAATACATGTATATTTCAGAGATGTTGTTTGTGAATGGAGTTTAATTGTGTATTGGGGAAAAAAGAGAGGGGGGCAGATTCTGCCCTTGCTAGCAAAGTCATGTGCTTGTGTGTTTCTGCTTGTGTTTATTCCTTGGAGTGAAGTGATATCCTGTTTCCAAGATCTGTTGGAAAATGAACTCAAAGCAAATACTTAACATGGCCCAAAGCTTTGATCTCAGTCCAATGTATACTTTGTACTATTTAAGAATGCTGCAGGGAGCTGTTTTTGTTTGTCATTTGTCCAGATGTAGGCAACATCTTGTTATCTAAATGATTTACTTGGAATCAACAGAAAGGATAACTTACTGGTATGAATATGCGTTTGTCATTTTCCTTTGCTTGCCATTAACAGAAAGAATGCCGGCAAATTATTTTCAGAGACTGATCGTCTTATCAAACAGAAAGATATTCTCACAGAATTTACTGATTCCAATAGAAGGAAATATCTGTAGCTTGGGGCTGAACTGTGGGGTCCTTGGTGCTCTTTGACGTTGTTTGTTTGCTTGCAGACATTGGGCAACTAATTGTCATTGTCATCATCACCATCACCATCACCATCACCATCACCTTCATCTATTACATTCACTCACTCTCCCAAACTAAACTATTTCAGCTAATGGTTTTTTTTTAATGAAAATTTTGAAAAAAAACTTTT